CATAAATTGTATTGGTGCCTCATCGCTTACGCTGCTGACTTACACGGCATTATCGAGCGAACCTCTCTACATGGACCCTGCAGCCTGGCTACCGCTGAGAACTCAAGTGACATTTATTATTTTGCGACAAATATTAACAATCCTATATCAATTATATCGTAATGCAGATCATTTACGAGCAACTCGATGTAAGGTAAATGTATGCCAGATTTTCCGTCCCTAATCAACGCTGTAAACCTTTGCAGATTCCTTCTCGCATAACGATACCTATCTGCTCAGGTTTTATATATTGTATTTTTGACCGGGTCGACCTTTTTTATTTAGTTTTTATTAATTAAATTAAAAAATACATTATTGCCGTCGAGTGAGCAAGTGTTCAGAACAGAGGTCACAGCTAACTTGTATGTATAAAGTTGATATTTGCTTTGCGTTTTGTAGGTGCGTTGATACGGGAAAGCACGGGAATTCATCGGAGAAGCCAGTGAACAGCATCTAGTCATAGACTCATCAGCCTGCCAATAAGTGTCCATAGTGATTCAGTGCAACAGGGCGTACATCTCAAAGAGACTGTCCTTCTTGTCCTGTGAATACCGGTCCAAATAACTGTTTAGTATAGATTGTTTGAATGTCCTAGTTCACATCTCGGTCCTTCGTCGCAGCTAGCTAAATGCCAACTATGTTATGTCGTATCACAGCTTACACACGACCTCCTTTAAGGACGGTGTGAAAAACTTAACCGGCCATTTAATTGCAATGGTATTTTTTTTGTTACCATTATTCCGAGCTCCCGGTAATGATCGAAGTGGTCTGGTGCGCGCAGATCTGCAGAGATGTCAATAGTTACAACTGACGAAAGTTGCAACTAGTGGAAGATAACGTACTGCTGCAAGCGTCATGCAAATCTCTGCTCCAGAATGCGCTTGGCCAATACTGGGTGCGTTTTAACGTAATTCTATCTAATATGCTAACAGAGAAACACTTGACGACTGCCGAGTACGTTTTCAATTGATTTTTATTTGACTTTGTCACTAATTGAAATGCGAAATACCTTATATATGAGCGTCAAATCACGATCAGCACATAGGTTGCGCTCGAAATTACCGTGCTCTATTTGGAATCGTGGATGTTTGTATATCTTTGTAGTAGTAGGACCAACAAATCACCCTCTGATCGCTAAAGGGCTGCTTTTAATTGGTGCATTCAGTGGAATATAGAGAGGTACAAAAAGAACAGGTAACGCAAGGCGTAATAATATGTTATAGCCGCCATCATTGGCAAAAGAGAAGACTGCCTATTTTTTTATTACCATCAAAAACTGGTTTTAAACTAGTTCTGTTACAGCTTCTAGCGAAAGTTAATTGTTGAAGAGTCTCACTGCCGAACACCGTAGCTTCTAATTGAAAAACATCTACCAAACTTCTCTCTCTCCAGTGGCCATTTTGTACCACAAAAGCATTCGCCTTCGTACTTTACTTTCGTATACTCTTCGAAATCTCTGCCGGTAATTGGCTAATGGTTGAGTCGCTATTGTGCCACGAGTTGGTATCCAGTTCTGATCAGAGTAAAGATTGGAGGAAGCTGGCCAACGTATTGTCTAAGGCGGCATGTCAAGAAGCTGCCTGTCGAGTCGACTTACCTCTTCTGTTACTCAGAAGCATAGACATGGCAGCCGAGGAAACAACAAAGTAAAGAGGGAAAGTCTAGCCTATATAGCATGTATCGTGTATTGACGATGTTGACGATCTTCTTCTACCCGTCGAAACTTTCCTAGTTACCTTGACGTTATAGGTGCACAGAGTGTTACTACTTTAACTAACTGCTGTTTCCCCTACAACTGAATCTGTTTCTACCAGGTAAGGCTTTGTAGTTGAATGTTGGCTGTTATAGGACCTAATAAAAAAAGAAGGAAGAAATGGACCGACTGACGGCAAACTGCTAAGCAACATTAAGGGTGACCTTCGTACTGCATGACACACAACGAGCACGGGCTAAACAATAAATCCTCAGGCCAGACCTCGTAATTGTTGTTCATAGATGAAACAAATAACAGCAGCACACTGCCTATAATTGCCTGCTGAAACATCAACGAACCAAGATACACCCGCATTCGTCTATTTAAAATTTAAGCAGTCTAAATGGTGCGGGGATACTAATTTTTGCCCAACATACGAAACGAGTATATGCATAAAATTAAATTTTGAAATTTAATATGATGTTTTTAGAAGTATACAAACGATCATGTAGAATAACATGATCGTTTGTATACTTGAGGTCTGACATTTTCAATGTTTTTTTGCATTTAATAATTTTTGGTAAGTTGTTGATAGAAATATGTTATCACGCATGAAATGTCTTAGGAAATTCTTTAGGCACTAAATTCAAAGTTGTGTAGAATCATCTAAGTTAAATAAGCTAGAGGGTAAATAAATGGGTTCCTAAACGAAAAAGTAGTAAATTTTGGAGCACCTAGATTAAATTTTGACTAGGGGCCGCAAATAAAAATTCATAAGGAAAATGCAATAGAAAAGTAATTATCACAAAAAAAAATAGAAAAGTGATTTTTGACAAATGATAAAAGTTCCGTTAGTGAAGAAGTTCGGTTTGTTTATGATAATAAAAATGCTTGGGAAATATTAAAGATTAACGTAATTTGGTGCACTTACACCGTTGTAAAAATATCCATCCCGTAAAACTACCTAGCTTCTGGGTGAATTTTAAAAAAGCACAAAAGGTTATTAATTAGATAAAAAGAAAGTAATAATGTATATTATTTGTCATTAACAAATTATAGTTCATTAAATCTTAATTTTGATATATTTCCTTTTGAGTTTCTACTATTCTGAAAGCTGAACTTTAATATCAGTCGCAACATCTTCAATCCATTTAGAAATTTGACTATTACGTATCTCTGTTGAGCGCTCTCTTCTTATTCTTTGTTGTCCTTATTCCACAATTTTCTAAATAGAGCCTTATAATTGATAAGGACAATCCAATGTGAAGTGTTCTATGAACCTCAATAGGTCAAACAACGTCATTTATGACAGCAGGACGTAATGAAACCTTTTTTGAAAAAAAAACGATATCTAATCGTTCTAAGGTTGCAATTCTGACGAGTGCACAATAATTATCGTCGATTTATACAGTAATCTTTAAGACCCAGAATAATTTTCCAAGATTTGATATTTCTCTCATATCCGTCAAATTAATCAATCATCATTCTTTATTAGATGGAAAATTTTTACTAGTGAATTAGAATGTAATGATATAAATATGATAGAAGACAAATAAATGTAAGCATTGAACTTGAAACTTATAGCTACAACCATTACCACTATATTCAAATAGTATGCATATTTAAGTTTTCGCAATGTAAATGTTTTCGCGTACAAAATAATCTTCACATCCAAATAAAGTACTAAACAATAAACTATACTTATTGATTATGCACATGTGCAGGAACGCAACTCTTCAGTATCTGATGATGTTTCGAGTTGTGAGGCTTATCTTCACTCTTTCCGTCAGGCAATCCTCTAGAAATAAAGACGTTAGCTAACTCTCTCATTACAGATGAAACGCAAGCCTCTGCAGATGTAGGCCTATCTGCAGAAATGTATGTACAGACACTTATCATGGACATTACCATGAATCCAATGGAATTTAACTGTCATTAATGTACACTCCATGTGGCACGATTCTCTTCGTTCGGCCGACCAACTGGCCTACCTTTTACACAAGGTAATTTGCCCAGTATTCAAGGCTTTTCCCACGAAATGTTAATAGCAGCAGTAGAAACACCTGTACTTTCACTTTTCCAAAGCTGCGGACAAATGTTACAATAGACATAGACGACGCATATCTGATCACCATTATGACGAAGAGATGCTCCTCCTTACCCTGATTTCTGATTGCCGCGTTTTCATGACCACGACATCGGTAATGCCGCAATGGTTGCAGCCAGAGCTACAGAAACTACCGTACAGTTTACGCCTACGTCAGAATTGGAGGTTTACAGTGATCGGACCATCAGAAAATTTCTAGCCAGCACACAAGCGAAAACAGGTCATAGCAAAAAACTCGTACATCGTTTCGCCTTTGTTGAAAACTTATGTTTCACATATAATCAAGGCAAATGATAGTATTTTTTCCACTTGGCTCAAGTTGTCTTTTGCCCTCGAATCCTGAAACAGGCTTTTTGTTCTATCGCTCTTCCTCTTTCCCACATTTTCTGCCGTTCCGTATAAGCAGACAGGTGAAAACGAAAAAAAATTTAGCAGCATGGTTGAGGTGTCTAGGGGTAGACTCAGCAATTGGACAATAATAGCGACACAGACTCTGGTGTCCTTCCTGCCTCCCGCTAACTTCAGGACACCGGCGGGCGGGCCAATATAGGATAAACTTTTGGTTTTTTCTTTGATTGTCTTGAGTTCGTCGTTCATCACCGCTCTGCTCGACTCCTTTAACAAACCATGAATGGCGGAGAAAACTAGAAATACTTTTTACAGCATACTTGCGCACACTAACAGGAATTTTTGGAAAAATGTAGGTACCTTTGGACCCCACCTTTTTACCCCGTAGGCCTTCGTACACCCCCAGCAGCTACTACAGCAGTGTTTCTTCTCCAGTCGGCCTATTTTTGAACGGCGGGCTCATCTTGATAACAAAAGCTGCGCTGTAACAGTAACGACAAAAACAACGGTCAGAGCAAAACATTGTTGATGGGTGTATCGGATCGACGAGATTGAATAGCAAGTCGCAGGTTACCACCGCAAGTTGCCTGCCGTCATGGTGTTCATACAACGGGCATGTACAAAGTTATCAGCTTGACCGGTTTCGACTAGACATAGTCTTGCTGCCAACCTTGTTTAATTATAAAAACATTAAACGAGATATAACGAAGAGCCTCGGTAAGTTAAGTCTTAGACAACAACGATAAACATTGCCCAGTGAGTGACAGACGTGATGTTGGTTCGAAAGAGATCGTTCGTCTGATTCACCCTTTGTAGAAAGACAAAAGCATAAAAAACAACAACATATATCTTAATAACATTAAGAGCAACAGCCCGGACAACAAATGTGCAAACGACGTTCTCGAAAGTGATGCACATAAGATAACTTTGGCACTTGCTTTAGCAGGACAATATGATTCTCAAGTAGCTAAAAAGTCGTGAGTACATTACATGTACACATTTATGTGTGTGCTTAAATGCTGCAATCGTTTAGAAAAATGTTCTCCTCAATTGGTCAGTGATTGTCAAACAAATTAAGTAGACGTCGTCTTACCTTTTACGAGAAGGCGTACATTGTAAGATTGGTTAAATGCAAAAGAGAAATCCTTCAAATCCCTTCCTAGTTAAGGTCAATGCCACCAGACGGTTTTTGACTGTGTGAGAAAAAGCCTATACTACCTTAGCGCAGAAGTCCTCTCGATAAATTCAAGGCAGGACATGGCTCAATAATTTATAGCCATGCTTCTAGATATGATTTTAAAGAAAGCTATTCCATTTATACCTATGCAGTGTGAAGTCAGACATTAATTCGAGAGCCTCGGACTCTCTCATTTTGAACTCGCACATAGGCCTGTGATTAACAGGCATGCGTAGTCGCACATGGTGGCCGCTCAAGGCTCGAAACGTCAGCGAACGATAAAATAGATGTGATCTTCGAAAGAGCTTGAGACTCGATTAATAACCTTCTCCTTCCCAAAGTTGGACGGAGTAGACAACGGAATATTAATAAAACTTTCTGCAGCGCATATTCTAGTGCCCATACAGCTGGTCATTGATTTTCTTTAGAATTCGAGAGCATATGGCATTAAGTAGATGCTAAGAAGTATAATAGTGATAAAGTACATTCACCCATATTTGATTTTTGTAACCCTATATTCGTTAACCTACCGCCGTAATAGTTTATGCTCATTTACCATTGAGATCTAAGGTCTGGGTCTGTGTAAGTGGTCATTATATTCACCCTTGCAAATAAATACTTTGTGCAAGCTCTAGTTCGTGGCGTTGCAATAGCTTTCTCTTAGATTCTTATACCATATTCGCCCATTTACACCGAGCACTATATCTAATCTAGCTATGTTAAAAGACTGCCGGGTGCAATCAGTATCAATGTGGCATCTCCCCAGTTACGCACCCTGCCAACAGCAGTTACTTTCCATCTGGTGCTAATGTCTCTGCTCGCAGTGTACCGCTTAAGCACACCTGCACAGGTATACAATGACGCATGACGTTTCACCAAAAAGTTTGAGCGTGTAATGCTTAGCATTTAAAATAATTTCAATCGAGACATTTTTAGTACAATAGCGTTTTGTTGACAATGTGTGCAAATGCAGTGCGTATGTATATACAAAAGCCTGTTGATACAGGCCGGTGCGCTTAAAATCTCCTGCAAGCAGTAAATGTGGCCAATGAGACCGTCGTTCTGAGATTCTTACCGGCTTATGTGACCCTATGTGAGCGCCAATCGCGGCTTTCCATCAATCTGGCAGTAAAGCCGATTTCAGTAGCGCTTTCGGCAGACATCGCTTATTACTGCCGATACAAGCTAATCTGATGGAGACGGCGATCGTGAGTTCATGCTATATCCCAATCAGGCTGCGAAATCGGACGGACTCAACAGAAAGAGTCCCAGGCCAAGGAAGCTCAATTTAAATGACAACCGCTCCTTGCACCTCCTAGTACACGAGGGAATAGGCCGCGTCAACAAGAAGCACCACTCGATCAACCATCGAGTTTCCACAAACAGGATGTAGCTGTCAAAGTCTCATTGATAGACGCTTCACATAAATATAAAACTAGGAACTCGGAAAGGGTCATATGTCTATTTATTTTTGCACATAGAACAGTGATAGCAGCGTTATCGCCGGATCGACGTTTTTTTTTAGCCAACAAGCAAGATTTATCCAACTTCCTCAAGCAGAACGTTTCTTGAGTAAACGTCATTGCAGCTGGCGGGGTTACTGTTCCACTGAACGCGACGTTTCGAAAGACTTCACTGTAAGAGTTACATTGCCCATTTCAGATAGGACAGAATGGCTTTTCCTTTGTAATTGCTGCAAGGAATCATTGATTGGCAAAAGGAGTTTGAATTTCGTGCCAAGTTTCAAGCAGCTAGCCATTTGGAAATTTGCTAGTCTAAGCCAAATGCATCCCTGTACATCCTCTGAATAGAATTTTAACAATCAACACGGTTCTTCTGCCTCTTAAATATTAGCTATATTGCGAATAGTGTACCAGAAACGTTTATCATTTACTGCGTGCATGTATAAAGCATCGTTTTATTTGTATTTATTTACGCGTTCTGCTCGCCGGAGCACTGCTGGTGCTTTAACGGCTCGTGCAACACTGCCTTTCATTCGCTTGCACAAGAAGGTAAAATACATGATTTGCCTTTACTGGGTCAAGGCCTGTGTGTACAAACAAGACCTTGACGTTACTCAATTCATGGACGTTGCATAACCACGCATTATTTACGATGGTAACACAGCTGTTTACTTGCAGTGGTGTCCAACAAGACAGAATAGAAAAACCTGAGAATATGAATAGGACTGCAGGACAATAACTAAAAATCGCCGTTAACTTGTAGACGACAGGAAACGCTTACGGGGGCCATAACGCCAGGTATGACCCTTTCGGCGTTTGTGGTCAGTGACCATTTCCTTGGCCGGTTCCTTATGATGACGACTGAAATGTAAATAGTGGCAGATGGAATCGAGTAATATTGGATTCGTGATGCCCTAAAGAGAGCTAAGAATAGCTAGCTTGTTCCAGGGTGGCCAGGTCGGATACGTACAACCAGAACGCCCTATCACTTTCAAAGTAAGCCAAGCAATGAAGGTGGTTTAGGACCGTCTTCTTTGTTGATTGCTATCACGTGGTCTTGTTTGTACAAGACTACATATACGGACGCATTTATAAAAGCAGTGCATCGACCTAAAGATACTATGAGGGTTAAGTACAGGACGTCCAATATACTTCAGGAACAGATCATAATATTGGCCATTCGCCTTATTGACACTAAAGTAGCCAATCAAGAGGTGTTTTTATTGAAATTAGAATAAAATGTTTATTTTAGTTTGCTTAAATGCTTATTTTCACAATTATGAGTATCTAAATATAATGATTAGTGCTGTTCATATGTCTTAGGTAGAGCCTATAAATGAAATTGATGTAAATTTTAAGATAAATTAAGTAACGGTCGTTAAAAGATTAAGCAAATTGCTACAGTAACACATATTGTCGCGTAGCATTTCGGGCCGAAACACAGCGGGAAATCATGCCAATCTCTGAAGCTCACTTATCATCAGCACGCCGCGCCATATAAGCAGCTTCTACTGATCGCTGATTTCTCAGACACATTTCAAGCCTAACAGATTCTTGCAATACAACTTCGTAATCCGGTAACCGGTGCGCTTTTTTCAAAAATAGAAAGAAGCGACAAAGCATTTAGTATTGATGTTTAATTTCTGTTTATTACGCTCACGACAGAATATAGCTATACGATCCCAGCCAATCTGCAGGGTAAAGAGTCGATTTCCATTTTTGCGAACTCCGTTAAGCTTAAACTCCGAAGATCTGCTCTGGCATATATCTACTAGCAAAACTGGCCGATTGTCAAGTCACAGTGTTTTCAATCCCCAGTTTGCCGAGCCCCGTACCGTAACTTAATGGGACAGTTCTATTTCTCTTCCGCATAAAGCGTTTTTCGGCGAGGTAAAGGATTACTGGATTGTCAGTCTGCCTTACCAGCGCTGTATTTATTTATTTTTTTTTTTTTTAGCGTTGTAATAGTATCATAGTTGTCGATCTAACACTGACACACCTTATGATCCGTCTCGCTGAGCTACTTAGTATTCACGAGCAGCGAGTCCCATATCTTGTATCTAATTCGCAATGGTCCCATAAAACCCTTATGCGTCCACAGGCCATCGCCTGCTGATGCTAGTAATATGACAGGTAACGGCATCGATAGCTACTACCCGTGGACGCTTAGCTTAATACACAGTAAAGACCCTCCCAGTGTTTCGTCGAAGGGCTGGACCGCTGACCACCAGACCAACAGCCGAACCATATCGAGATCCGAATTCTCAGAAAAGGTGAGCCTAGGAGCTTCTCAAGATATGTTGCTAAAAATAAGCAAAAACTAGAAATCTTTATTAATATGACTACATACGCTAATACTAGTTCTGACCCCGGTCCTGGTTCGCTAAAGCGGGACCTGCTGTAAGCTAATTTATGTTACGCAAACAGTCACCTGTATGGCTTTATGTATGAACGAATTTCTATGTATACGTCACTATCTATACGATCTCGCTGCGGCTCAATTGAATTTGTCGTAGAAGCTACGAAAACATGATGGATTCACGTAACATATCATTTTCGTGACTCAAGCTTGTTATCGGGCCGTTTGTTATAGCGATGCCTCCCCGTCACGAATTTAGCCATACTGTTTATTTTTGCAGTGTTGCAATAGTAGAAAGCATATACTACACTGATCGATTCGCAGGATGGTGAAAGATTATTTGGTATTATGTTACTGATGTTTCTTAATGTTTTCAATGTTCTCTGTATAGCTGTAGATACGAGCATAATATATATGTCTCTGTTGCATTCATGTCGACGAAATTAACTCATATTGTGAGCTTATCTTCTGCACTTAAGTGTTTGTGGTGTAGAAACAATCTGTTAGATCAAATTAGGCCTTGTTTCTCATTAAGCAGTCGTTTACCTAATAAAACGCTTGGGAGTTTCAGGATTCTATGCCCCTATTATTATGTGCAAAGCGCTGTTAAAGATTAGAGTGAGCTGGAGGTGGCAGGGCCGCAGTGCCTGAACCGTCGCCGTAGCGTCTGCTATAAAGGAGGGAACACAAACAATCAAATTAATTGACGGAAAGATGTCGCCAGCTACGTAACTCTAAATACACGAAACAAGAAAGACTACTGACGGTATGTATTGAACAAACAACATACGCTGGATCTATTCGTACGGTCATTTATGCCTATCTACGGTGCGGGACCAGCCACGATGCCCGTGTGTTGTAATTATCAGCATAAAAGGAGAAAAAAGCCTTCAAGATTAATCTACCAAGTATCTAATGCGAAAGATCAGCTGATATTTTGCCCTATATACTGAAAACATGTGATCGGCAATTTTGTGGATTTAAGGGAACTTAGCTTAGCAAGTGTTTTGTGTTATGAACGGCCTGGAGCATGTCAAAAGGGACTGTCTTCTAAAAGCTAATTTAATATTTACTAGCGTTTTATCTCAGAGATAAAATTGGATTCTGCACAGGAGTGTAGCTGAAACGTTTGCATTACTCTGTAAATCAATGCTGGCCGTCTCTTCAGATCAGCGACCCCCTGCTCTAACTCCATGTGAGCAAATATATACAACATAGGTAAATACACTCAACCGTTTACATATATAATGCCTGGCTATTCAGTTATTGAAATCTATACTTCCGAGATACCAGTAGGTGTTTTAAGTTAGGCAGTCTAAGAGTATCCTATCGCAATGGCCTTGGTCACTGATAATAAAATGTAGACCCTACAAGGCAGAAAAACGAGAGACAAAACATTTTTCAGTAACTCTATGGCATCATAGAAATTATATAGATGATGTTTATATGGAAAACGCATGGTTAGTCGTATTCAGATTGTCCGATGCGCTCACATTGTGCGCCTCAGTCCGAGCTGAAGCATGAGGAAAGCTCGGCTAGTTTGACTTATTTTACGTATATATGACATTTGCTGGCCGTTGAAGCAAACGTTCCTGCTGGCTTCAGGAATCGTGTATCTGGAAGCCGATAGTAGCACATTTAACCCAGCTCCAAGGAGTCAGAATCAAGATGTAACCTTTTTAGATCGAACTTAGATCAAATTTTCCTTATACTTACAAATGGTAATAAAACAACTGCAACGAGATTGGTTATCTAATTAAAACGTGAACGGATCTAAAGGATTGTTCCTGACTTTTAGTTTGTCAATATGAATTGCTCGATGCTTGTACCCGTAGCGCAGGGTCAAACCGAAGAAAAACATCTGCGTGCAGAGCTTCGACCATCGAAAACAGTAGATCTGGATTTGAAGTTTAGTACGTGATATCCGTACCGAATGGCATGACGTCCGTCCTAAACTGATCCTGATAAAAATAGCTCAATATCCGCGTGGTTTGTGGCCAACAGGCAGTCATTGTGTACCATACGGTAAGATGGCCCTGTTTGACATGTTTGTCCAGCATAGGCCAAACATATCGACGATTATATGTATCGATATATACTTAGCACGATCCCACCGATTGAACGATGTAGTGAAGCCGACAATGTAAACAACACTATAAAGAAAATTTTTATTAAAATATACGAACTGGCGAATCCTATTGAATAAATGGAGACTTTTTTTTTGAAGTAACATCTGGTATTTGCCTGTGCTTTACTTCTATGGCAAGGGTCCATGTTAGTAGACTGGCCCGTGCTGTTACGTTGACCCCTTTGGCTATTTCACGTGCATTGGTCCCCATAAACTACAAAACTTATAAGAATCAAGCGAAAATGTCAATGCAGATCAAATTTTCAAACAGACCGCTATGTTTCCCGTATTCATTTGTGGCATGAAGCTATTTCGGAGTAGATCCTGAACGCCCGGCCACTTGCAGCAATTGGCTCCGTACTAGACTCCTAAGCAGAGTATCTGACCCAGCTCCCAGCGACTGACCAATAGAATACACAACTGTCTATGTGAACCGCAATTTTGGTCGTCTCATTCGAATTGCTTTGCCTCGAGCTGTTGTTCGCGATTACCCTACGCATATAAGCACAATACGACAGTCTGCGCAATTGTGGAACTCCATATATATGATACACCCTCAGCTGCCATTCCAGCGATAAATGAAAGTACTGAGACGGCACCTTGCCCCAGTTCGATTTTGTTAGTTACGGTGACAGTAGGAAAGTGGTACTGAGTGAAGTAATATATTAGAAAAAAAAACTTTTCCTTCCTATTTTTACTGCTCGACGCGTCAGACAGGTTTCTTCCATTGCTTTTCTGTTTCTGAAACACACGCAGTTTTTTTGGCCTCACCCGATGTAGACGACTGAACGAGCGAACGAATTGGTTGTTAGGATCTCCTGTTGCACTGCCTCTACCTGTGTCTCGATAACGCTGGTGCGTTCGGAACTACTACTGCGACTGCTGTTACCATTGTCGTTCTGCTTCATCTATCACATACCTATCCCTTGGGGCAAGGATTTTCCGTCCGAGCAACCAATCCGATCGTCAGCGGCTACCACCCATGCATAGACCAATATGTAGACGCTCTCGTGTTTGCGCATGTCTCGCAAATGAAGAAGGATCCGGTGAGGAACCGAGGAAAAAAGTAAAGGCCGGCGTAGATTGCCAAGAGAAAGTTGACGGCGATAAAAGGATCCCGCGAGCGGAAGCTGCCGCCATCGTCGTCATCCAAATGAAAGTGTGTTGATGTATCCCTTAGAATACCATCTCCTGCCCCGCCATCGCTGTCGGCGTGCCCTCGTAATGGCCTTGTTGCCGTTACCTCGATGAACTGGGCTATTTACTCATTAGGTGAGTGTCTGCTTCGTCCCGTAGCTATTTTTGCTCTTCGGCACTCGAAACAGAGCACTTCCTTCTATTGAGTCACCGTCAGTCCGTGGATGATAAGTGCTTACCAACAGAGATAGGTTTCGCTGTCAGGCAGTACGATTTCGCACGACAGCGAAGCAAGATGAAGTCACATACTGCTTCGCACGGATGCATGGTCTTTTTGTCTTGACTTTTGTGATCAGTGAGACTCAGCAAACGTTTCAATCTATTTTAGTAGAAAAAGCATCGCTTATCATAGAGATGGCCGAATGAATTAGGAAGCCGTGACATTTTGGCCCATCAGCAGCCATTTCAGTCATCTGATCATTAACTGGACCATTAAAATGAAGAACAGCGTAAATAACAGTCACAATAACATCTGCCGAGATTGCGGTAACCCTTTCGACCGACAACGTAAAATATATTCTTGAGAGCAATCGTTCTTGCTGGATCTCATCATATTTGTAGTTGATTTGTTTGCACCTAGGAATTATTCAGATCACATGGTTATAGGTGGTGTACGATTTTACCGGCTGAGCCTATATTTGATTGTAGAGGTGCCCTAATGGCCGCTTGATATACAGCTTATTTCACTTGAATAGTGCGTCTTATATGAATTTATTTACACTTTTACTAACAAGAAATCGAACTGACAAAGAAATATCGAGCGAGACAAACCTGCAAGAGACGGAGATCTACTAGCCGCTTAGCGACTGTTACGCTTTCCGCTCGTAGTTCTACGCCTTCTACGTAAACGATTCCCAACAATCAAAATGATACTAAGTTCAACTTCGGTGTTGAATCAACAAACTTAACGTCGACAAAAACAACCCTTTTCTTATTCACGAGTTCGCATACTCATAACCGGGACCGGATTGCCGCATTAAAAGAGGTTGTTCGGTCATTGTCTTTGTTTAGGTTGTAGCTTCATAATCTTGCTTTACCCGCATTAAATCGTGTTACATGCTAACGCATTCGTTAAATCACTGTGCTATTGCCTCTGAAATTGTGTCTGGGCATTGTATCGAGTAATGTCCACTATCGATATTAATTCCGCTGCCTGCTTCCGCTGATGACTCGTGTCTAAATCAGGCGTGCCATATAGGACCTCTATGCCTCAGTATGTCCTGCCGTCACAGCATACGCTTTATGGTATCGAATCTACGTCGGTCATACTCTATGGAATGACGCATCTCTACTCTCAAAGGTTTTAACATATTGACACCGCTAAGGTATATTTCGCTTCCATTTTTAATTAGTAGATGTAGGTGAAGGGATAGGATGAATATATATGTTATATATATATTCATCCTACCCCATACTTAGGATGAATATATATATATATATATATAATAGCAAAGTTGGATAAATTTACCTTTGACGCAGTCAGGGTGCTAGACGTCGTTCAACTTAAATGGCATAAGCATAAAATTGCAAATCCACGTGAACAGAATTAACTTTGTCGTTCTGTTTTCGCCGCTGAACCCATCGATATGTAAGAAATCAGCTCGAGAGTCGCCTGTTAATCTTGATAACTAAACTTCTCCGTTAACTTATTGATAATATTCATAGCTAAGTATGAAGGTTGTACGACGCTTTACAAAAGAACGCTGTTGCCCGTATAGTATGTGTACAACTGCCTTTAATATATACGCCTTTACAATATCGCTGCAGTAAATGTTTATCTACCAAGCTGTATATGGAAGATGGCCTGTGGGGGATATTAATGAGGTGCGGTCGGATGGATTAAAATTCAGACAAAGAATATCCCCCCAGCATCCCATCAATAGAAAAATGGTTAGGAAACTTTCTACCTCTAAAGGCTCTTACTCTTTTCTTACGCTTTCTATCTCTAAAAGGAATGAATTATACGACCTTATATATATTCGGCACGTTCGCTGATCTTTAGAGAGTCAGTTGCCAGTTTGTACTTATATAGATGTGTACACCTCATAACTATATGTATATGTATAACCATATATATATATAGCTGTCTTGTCTCAGAAGACAGCGCAAGAAATGCAGCTTTTAGCTCCGTTCACTTTACTAGTAGAAACCTGTTTCTGCAGACAATTTGGTTAATTCGTCACAATAGTCATCCATGACGACCGCGGAACGATACTGATATGGCCACTTTAGACCTTTGGGTGATTACGACTTGGGTGGGTTCCTATTGCATCAAACCTACCGCGCTTTTACCTTCAGTTATCTTCTGTTTCTAACGAAACCGACCTGTATTGCATGTTACAGCTGCCAATAAGCCCAGTAATCCCTTGCCAATGACGAAGGCACGAGTAAGAGTAATAACAATATTATTATGTTGGCGATACAATTCGATCATATTAGGCATATAGGTTTCAGGAACTAGAGCAGATAAACCCACCCGGAGGGGGCAAAGCGCTATGAATAATGGCGTCGCCTATGCTGTGCCCATGCAGGTTTTCCACATGCGCTTTCTTCACTATAATCCCCTTCTTCTTTTGAAAGTCATTTGATTTATTCGTTTAATACACTGTTAATTATGTCTTTTCCAAGTAACAACACAGATCTCATAAGATCAAGTATGTACCTTACTATTAGCAGTTCCTGTTCCACCATCAATCGCCTTAAATATTCTCATTACACTACACGGTTAGGCGTCTATTGAACAACTTAGAAACCCCGGAGGAGACTTCAGGAGTAATGGCTTCCACAACCCAAATGTATGATGCATGATAGGGACTTAAACAAGTGTTCCATTTAAGTATATATATACATCACATTCGCTCACAAAACTGTAACCGTAATGGCCTGATTGAGCGTGATTGCATATCTATTGAAGATTATGTACTATCTATTTTTGGGCAAAACATTCCGTTTCCTTTATTTAAATACAAACAGAATTCGTTCACTGCCTGTGCTTGACGCTGGGGCCAACGGTGCTCGTTATCAAACAAGCTCCATAACACCCTCGTTGCTCTCATCGAATCAGTCGACGCCTCCAAATCGGTTGTTCTTATAGTTTTTACTGTCGTTATAATTATTCTAATTATTATTGCCGGTGTATCTATTCTCCAGTGGTTCGTCTATGAAGAACCCAACCACGCTTCGTGCAACCTCGCGCGATACGTGGCTACGTTCTCTATAGGCATAAATGAGTACGCCCGTTCCTTGTAATGCGCATTACTCTACCGTCTACTATGCATCGTAAGTACATGAGACGCGAGTTAAGCAGAGCTTCAGAGGACAACCAGAGGTTTCTACTCACCTGAAGTCAGCTAGGCAGTAAAACCTATTGTGTTAGAATACGCGAATGGCAGCTATGTTTCCTAAATTTCGTCGGTTGTTTGCTTTCCTCAACCGAATGTGTGTGAGTATTTATAATGGAATTATAAATTATAAAGAAAAATAGAAGGAAGCAAGTGCCCGCTAGCGAAAAGCCAATAATAAAAAACTTTGCTTATCTGCACATTTGACCTGGGACTGATCGCGCCCAATTTGCAAGCCCCGAAACACTCAATGCTTATACGAATTTCGGCTCCTTCATATCTACATTTCGGTGTTGTGGTTCCTTAAAACTGCTGTTGGCTTTTCTTCTGATAAAGCAACTTCAAGTTTCCAGTGCATTTGTATGTGTACGTATTATCTTGTGGGTCCTCATCTGCTTGCCGAACACACATGTAAGAACCTGCAAGGCCACACGGTAAACCAATTTGACTTGGTCTATGGTCTAAACG